AGTGATATTCTTGTTAAAAACCACAATCATTTATGGTGAAAAATGATATTTTTGAATTCTTGTTGAAAACAGCAAGTCCCATTGCTTTGATACTATGCATATTGTTCATTTTCTAATGATATCTTCTGGTCTTTAATTGAAATGTGCATTGATAACAGCGGAGCTATCTCAGCCGAGAGGCTGCTTGTTTGAATATGCAAATATTTTTTGTAATTTTAACAAAAACATACAAAATATATCGTTTTAAGATCCTAATCATGTCAATATTTCAAACTATGATTAACACCATCGTTGAATGGAACTTCTTCATGAGAGGGGGGTCAAAAAATCGACAATGGCAGCGTCAATTTCATGCTTTTATCAGATAATGATGGAATTGTACATTTCTTTATTTAAATTTTGAAGTAATTGGTACATTTTAATTTTATAGTAATTGGTACATTTTGATTAAAATGTACGTATTTACAGCTGATAGAATGATTCTGAAAGATCCATTATTGTAGGAACAAATTTCACGCATAAATAAATGTTTTTTTGTTTTTTTATTCGCTTAATATGTAAGCAACAATTGCTTTTGATATGTGCATGAGCCATTAGGCCTACAGGATAATACACAATAGTAACTTCTAACAAAAGCGTGGTGCATAAAATAATTACAGAGATAATATGGTTAATATTGCACAAAAGTAGAAGTGAATGTTTATTTTATTAAAGTCGGCATACGAAAACATGCATAGATCAAATATATTTTCACATATTAACAAAGAAAAGAAAATACCAATATTTAAATTTCCTCTCACCAGAAAGTACTGTAGAGAAATAAGGTAATATAATATTACTGTAATCACAAGACTAATTAAAAACTGTACATGCCTAATTTGTTATGAAAAAATATATTTCCGATTGGAAAAATAAACAAATCCTGACATGAAAATGTAGCTTGCGAAATATTACAAAAGCGGTTTAAAAATATAGATTGGATCAAAGCCTTGTATGGTATGTACACACTTTCTCATTATTCACACTTATCAAGTTGTTTTCCAAAATCAAGATAAAACTTTCCACGATATTATACATATTAGTAGCCAGCTACCAAGGCTAAAGTATGATTCCATGGAATTACAATAGATCATTTTTTTTTTTATTTTAATTACAACAGTTATTTATTCATTTTTTTTAATTACAAAAGATATAAAGTAGGATTGGTTCAAAAATGTTAATATAACAATGTCGATAATATAACAAATTGTTCTATTTTTCAGTATTATTTTTCCAACACAAGTACAAATGTATAAAGATCATATTTTCCTAATACAATGTTTTTCATGGGCACTCTTACTGGCAAAATATTCTATAAATTGATAAAAAAACATAAAAAAACAAACATGTTACTCTTGTTGAATTGCTAGATGAAATCAAAGAAATTGATTCATTATAAATCATCATCTTTATATATTCAATTAAAATGCATTTGTACTATGAATGAGAACACACAAAATATCCTCACCTACAATAATTGGAACACTTGAAAAATGACCGTGTTACATTCAACAGCGGTTTTTGTTCATCAAACAAATGGAATGTCCTTAGGCTACATTCTCCTTCCATACCTAATTAATGTATTTTTTTTTACATTCAAACTTGGGAATATAAACGTAAAATCGATGAAAAATTAGCGAGATAAAAGTATGGCAAGCCAGTAATAAACACTGGTCATGTGATAGATATAACACCTTCTGATTGGCTCACATGATATAAAACATGAGAAGTCTTCATGAATATTCATGATGACCTTGGGATAACCTGACCTAGATATAATATATATTTAGATTAGACGCTATTATTGAAAGGGACTCCTATTCTACCAACAACAAAATTCAATGCCTAATCCAATTATGTTTGGATTAATAATTTAATTTAAAATTGTCAGCTGTATCACATTTTCAGACTACAGAAATGTACTTGATAATAATTAATCATTGTATTTTTTTTTATTTAAAATATTTGGGGGATGTAATTGCAATATTGCAGTAATCACTTGGATGAAAACGACTACAATAAACCATGTGACTTACATGTGACCCAATATCACATGTTAGTTGGTAGGGATTGATAGCAACACGAAGAATAATATCGGTAAAACAATAATATTAAAATGCTTCCTTGCTTAACAATAGCGAAATTAGATCAGGCAAGCTGGTGACGCATTTCATGGTTTCAGTCACAGTGGCTTTTATTATTGATCGTTATTGTCACACACCACAAATATATGTATCAATATACATTTATAATTCAAAGTTGGGCAACCTTTGTGTATTGTATCATTTACTAGCATAGACTCAACCACTTTACAGCAGGGGTGGTGGGATAAACCATTCAACAGTTAGGGTTACAATTACAGATCGCAGCAGGCATTTTCATGGAAAGCTTGTGTGTGATGATAGAAATTAAAGCATTTAAATTACAACAGCAAAAAAGGTTTGATGTGTTTAAACATTATATGCATGATTGAGGGAATGTATCCTGTGTTATATAAAAAGAATAAGACCTACACAAGTCACAGATCAAAATAATGATTTACATTTGGCAGGTTGATTGACGTATAACAAATTGAGCTTTGAAAAAATAATAAAAAAAAACTAAAATACAGGTCTTTTCGGCGGTACCATCATCTAACTGAGGCTGTGCCATTGACATCAGTATTATTATAAACATAATTGTTATTAATAAACAGATGGCGAAATAAAAAAAAATGTTTTATATTGATCTGTTGAATGAATCCAGAATGTAAGGCATAATAATATGAAACATACACCAACCAGTAAATATTAAATCGATTGTCTGAAAATATCAGCAATTATTTAAGAATTTAAAAAGGAAGTTACCCAGTAATAATTTTTTCCCTCACAATTTGCTGCACCCCCCCCCCACAAGCCTTCAGGTTAACATCGGCGTACAAATATTCTACAAACAATTATCCATATAAACCATACCAACTAATTAAAAATAATTATTTATCATTGCTTTAATATAATATTCTATTTTTTTTTAGATATCTATAATAGATTTAATGTCACAATATTTTTTTTTGTATTGTGACTGGAATAACTGCATTTCTACACAACATACGAAAAAAAAAATATGAGAGTATTTCTTTGTCAAATGAAATATTGGAAACATATTGACATATTGTATTAGATCCAGATTACAGACATCCACCATTATGTAAATACCCTTAGTCTCAAAAGTCAAGATAAAAAGAAAAGAAGTCAAGACTAATGGAAGTCTTTAGGTGCCGTTGTCATGGAAACTTGAAAAACCATATATGTCAACGTGAAGATGTTTATTCAAAAAGATCTCTGAAGCGTATCTGAATCAAAACTGACCCCAAAATAACTCATAAATTAATCCATTATTATTCTTGTAATAAAAATAATATTATGATGTAAAAAATTATGAGAACATTCTTCAAATTTGAAACGCTAAACATGCTGAGATAATAATCAGGCAGGTCATGTGACAGGTCACATGATAAGTATAAATAGACAATCAATGTCATATGCAAACTACAACACTTTATTTTCATTGAAAGCACCGCCGGTGTGACATGTGTCATTTATTTTCATCAATTTCTAAAGAGTTGCACACAAAAAATGGGAATATTTATAATCAATAAATTTCTGGTTATTTTTTCACTGATTTATAAGTGGGAATAAATGGGAAGAGTTCATTTTAAAGAAGGGAGGAAGCTTACATAACATATTCAAATGAAATAAGGTATTTTATTTTTATGCAAAAAAGAGTTTTAAATTTGTCAGCAAAAAGAGCTTTAAATTTGTGTAAAAAAAAGATTAAAGATAAGTGACTAGATAGGTTTTCCTGATGGAAATAAAAGCTTCTATTAAATTCATTTTAGAATTTGGAATATTTATACAGGAATTCAGCTGCCTCCCCCCACAAATAATGATTGGTTCCATGACTTTGTGCTCCAGGAATCCGCATGATAAAACACATCAGGAAGATCTATTGGGAGCTGGTTCTTTAGTTACTACCTAATTGTGGAGCCAGCGTGACTCAATGAAAGCTAGCGTGCAATTGATGGTCACTGTATTGACATAGAAATGAGGAATATAGTTATTCAGATTATTTCTAAGCGTGATGTTTCTTTGAATGAATACATCACATATGTCATTCGATTCTGAAATTTTGTGCAAGAAAAAATTGAAAACATTCTATTGAAAGAGTCAAGTAACTTATAGCCACCAATGTTAAAATATTTGTTACCCATCACAGTGTGGCAAATTATTCTTTCCTGGCCACACACCCTAAACAGTTTGTTTACCACTGTGGCATTTTACACTAGAGAACTTAATCAATGGCAGGGTTTAGAAAAGTGTTCGAAAGTGACATAAATGCAATGCACAAAGAAGACATTTGAACACTTTCAAACATATTTCTATACATTTCAAAGATAGATGAAAAACTGTATATATATGTCTACGATGCCAAATGTATTTTTTATTGATGCATAAAAAAGAACATTTTTTATTTTGTTTAGATATTAAGTACAACAAACTCAGACTGTGATTTTAATTCGTTAATGCTAACATTTCATTCTTAGAGCACCATCATTTTTGCGGGTGAACATTTGTATAAATTTTTCTACAAATTCTTCTTCGTTTAAAAAAATTAAAATTGAAAAAAATTATCCAGGTCTATTTTGTGAAAGTAGAAAAAAGTTGACCTTGGCTTTTACCTACAAAATGAATGCATTTTTAATAGTGTAAGTATGGTACATGGTGAGACAGGATATGATCTATTAGCTGTGGTTTGAACCATAGTCCCTATAGAGGGACCGTGTTTGAACACATTTATTTATTTTAGGGAAAACATGAAAACATAAAATTAGTAGCATATTTTCTACAGTAATCTTTGCTAAATTTGCATCAAACCACAAGTTGTCGGTTTTGATGTGATGCCTTGGTATTAGCACATTTTAAGAATGTAACAAAAATAAAGCAGCTTTCACTCCTATTCTGATGTGAACCTTACTCAAAATGTTTATGAAGCTGGGCTTAAAACACTTGCATAAAGGGGTGTAAGCAGTGATCCTTCCATTTTGTATAGGGGTGAAAGCTGTGAACCCTCTCTATCATGAATCCATGATTTGGAACACCTGTTCAGACTGTGTCCCTAGTCAGCATGGTGGAGTTTATCCATTGTATCATGAAAACACAGGTGCTGGTATAGTCAGGCATACTTTGCCGCTTCCTTGCAAAATCAAAGTGTTTTCCTGGTGGTACTGCACAAGCTCTAACGGACTGTTAAATAGCTGTGAAAAAAACAGACCATTCAAGTTCATAAATATAACCTAAAACCAGTGTCACCACCTCAAGGAGTCAGAGAGCATAACAGAATATTGTACTTCATAAACAGATGAACTTTTGAACTTCTGAGCTTATGGTAATTTCAGCTGCTCATCAAGGGTAGTCCACCAAATATGGAAGAGACATTAAGGGAGAAGCCTACTCATAAATTAAAATATCCTGAATTTATTCATTTTTCAATAAACTGTACTCAAAGTCAATATAAGTATATTGACTTGAAAAAAAGTTAGGGGTCACCAGCCTTATTCTCGAGAAATTGATGGTTGTATTTTAGTGGAAAGTCACCATTTTGGCACTATTATAATGCTTTTACCATAGGTTCCTATGGCAGAAATATTATGCAATATCTCAAAATCTAGCCTGGTGACATAGGCAGAAAAAATCATATATTGTTAATGATGGAGTACTTTTTATTGTTATGAATTATTAAAAAAAATCTTGGTTTTAAAAAGTGTCAAAAATGCATTTTTTCTTTAAAAATGTGTTTTATAGAATTGTTCTAAAAATAGCGATTGTAACACACAAAATAATGCTATTTCATTATACCATGGGATATTAGCTTCATGATTGCACATAATGAACTAATGAACATTGTCATGTGATTTATGACCAATTTTGTACAAAATTATGAGTAGGCTTCTACCTTAATGTTACTTGTGAATTTTTTGCATGTGCATATATTTCAGAGTATATATAGCAGTTACGATATTTCATTTCAAAATCTGTCTACAATTAATCGTCTTAGTAGTAGTCAACAGTATGTGAACTATATTGGTTCACTGTTAATATGTTTTTAGAGTAAAACGGTAAAATAAGATGCCATTTTAGTAATGGTTTCCACAGACCATAATGTAAACACATGTTCAATTTTATAATACTTGTAGACATCAAAGTACCCTGCAAGTCACTACATATTTTTTTTCACCATATGTCACCAAAACATTTTGAGATCTTGAGAAATATCGTTGTCATGGTAAACACTGATAAAATGACCTAAAACAGACAAACCATGCTATTTTCATTGTATTATATTTGATAAATTTTCTCCTAATTGAGTACAGCAACCCCATATGTGTTTTTTTCATCCTTGTAACAAGATATATCAAATAAGATAAGATAAGATAACAGCTTTATTACAACCGTGTAGAAAATTTTACATTTCTAATTTGGTGTTTAAAATGTAATAAAGTTAATAATGAATAACTAAATGACAATATTTTTAATTTTTTGTAGTGTTTGTATTTGCTCTATTAGAAGCACATTTTCAATAGAATCACATATAAACCAAAAATCATATTTGTTGTTTAATAAATCATTAAAATATTAAATTTTTTTGCCCATGGAAACACCTCTGTAGTTCACATGAGCGCATGCACTTCTAATAGAGTAAATACGGTATACGTGCAAGCACTTCCAATAGAACAAATACAGTATTTGTAATTCAGAGTTATTAACTGAAGTGAAAGATATGTAGTTCATTCACCTATACAGTAGCAATTGTATGTAGACGTGCTGCTCATGATTCCATAGGGGCTTCACACATGGAAAACCTTAAGCCATGTAGCTTAATCAAAAATTATGACCTAATGTGCCAGAGCGTTTTGTTCACGATGTTCTAATAAGCATTATGCATGACCCCTAAAGGTCACACATCCTGGCATTTCAGGGATATTGTTCCCCTATAACAGCAATAATTTCAAATATCATTTATCTAAATATACGCTGTGTTTTTGAATTTCAATGTCAATGTGTGGAACAATTAGAAAATCTGTACGCCCGAAAAGTACCACCAGACTTTCTCGCCCAAATTTGTCTGCACTGTTTTCTTATATTCTTCATTATTTTTGGAAATGAATATTAATTTTTAAGCCAAAAGACAAAATTTGAGTAAATTTTCAGTTTTTACTCAAAAAAATTGGCTATTTTTGTCCCAATCTTCTGAAGGAAAGTGCAGACTATTTTATGAATTTATGGTAAAAAGAGGGAACCAGTGGTTAAGGGGCCTGAATTGCAAAATGTTATCTTCACAAATGCCATGAAATCATTAAACTCCTATCAGTGAAAATTACCGGTAAATGGTTTACACTATAATCAAAATGTAACATCAAAATGCTGTTCAATTCTTTGATAAGAAAAATAAACATTTTTAAATAAAGTTGAGAAAGCGTTAATTAATATTGCAGGCTAATTATGTCTTTACCTTTTCTCCTTCTTTTAACGCACCAAGAGCAATCTTTCCCTGACTTCTCCTCTTCATTTGAAGATGCCATGGTCGTTTGTACCATACACTGACGGTATATGGGGAATTACTATTGATGCCATCCTTGCCATCGCGTATTATGAATGCCCCGTCCTGAAAAATATTCACAAATAAACACATGTAAAGAAGTCATGTAGTTATACAAAATAAAATCTGGTTGAACAAATCTGCTGCTGATGATAGTTTTTTCCATTTTATTTTGGATATCCTCACTATCCATTGAAGTTGGTTATCCATTGGTTGCTAAGGAACAGATGGTTTAGTCACCATCAATATACTCCAGTGTTTTGATATACATTAGTTTTAGTTTTTTTTTTAAATTCTAGAGTGAAGTGAAATGTTTACACAAGTTTGTCAAAATTTGCTCATTTTAACAACATAAACGAACATTAACATTAACATCCAATCAACTCCTGCTTATATAGCAGGATGTAGTCAACCAGAGTATCTTGTTTTTGTTACACCTATTGGCCAGGTTTTCAGGTAGGTTTGTGTAGTACAAATGTAGATGGAGGTAGAGGTAGAATTTACATCACTGTATGTATATCTTATATTTTTCTTTAAAAAACAAACAAAATCAAAACACTGTGAAAGAGTAAATTATTGTTAATGTGTGACAATACGGGTGTGGCATCAGGTTGTTGCGCGAGAATATATTGGCATGTTTCCAGACAATATCGTCCTTGTATATCTGCATGTTGTAAACACACGCAGTTGGGACTATACATGTTACATAGGGTTTAAAACACATGCAGGTTCACATAACCAAAATTCCATCCAATCAACTCCTGCTTGTTTTCAACACACATACTATGGTGTGTACGTTCTATTAGAAGATATGATATCCCGCAGAAATAGACAACTATTCAAGTTGCAATACACATGCAGTGAGGTCAAGGAACTTCTTAGGTACATGCACATGGTTTTATTGACAAAAATGGGTCAGGTCACATCGAGCAGGCAAGCCAATCTCTTATTCAGACAAATCAAATAAAGACCAGATTTTTTTCAGAAAATTGATTCTATGACATATTTATATCTGTTATTTAGATATTGTTAAATTTAAAAATGACAAACTTGTTTACAATTGATTTGATCCCATGTTAGTTTGTGCTCAAAGAGTGTCATATAGTGAAACTTGACTCAAACAAACTCTGCGTAAATCAAACACCTGTAACACCGTAGACTGATTCCAGTCTCTTCTTCATGATGCATGAACTTGATTTATTTAAGGTCATTGATGGTCTTCAACCAATTAACATGAGTGAAAAAATTATCATGCTTTTTTGGTTTCAAACTTGATTTTTGATTGAGACACAAGAAATCAACTTTGGGGAGTCTTCATCCAGTAGAATTATATTTTTTTGTGAGAAAAACCTTCTGAAAACACAAATTGGCCTTTTAGGAAGTATTTCCATAAAAGTTTATGTTAAAATATGGTAAAAGAAAATCTGGCGATAAATTTTAATGGTTCCAACTACCTTAATGTTTAAAAAAAACTTTATAACTTTTAAGGTTAAGACGCGTAGATTGGTAAAGTCAAAAGAATTTAAAACATGCCATGTTATATTCATATGCTGGAAATTTCAGCTCATGAGAAAAATATTAAAAAAAAAAAATTGTACATTCATGAAATAATTTTGTTTTTTTTGTATATTTTTTTTCTATCCAGTTGTAAAACACATTGTCTACTGAGAGTCTCCACAGATAGCTGGTATAGAATGGTTTCAGTAGGCAATGTATTACCGGTAACTGGTCTTATTTAAATGTATTTTCACTTAAGATAAGTAAACCATGTTTTCATTATCAGATCCTCAGATGCTTTTATGTCACATTTAATATACATGTTTCACTGGATTATTATTGGTTGCATCAACTTCTGAAATACTGTAAAATACTTTATTATCGCTTAGAATTAGTTTACGTGATTCAGTGAAAATAAAATTCAGCGAATACATGTACAATCAGTAGTACTAAGTTCGAATTTGGCACAAACTTGCACGAATAAGGTACCGGTATGCACAGTATTTCATGTATTTGATGCAAACATTTTCAGAAAAGTTGAAGCTAGGCAAGTCACATACATTCTATTTTATAGTTTGTGTTTAAAGGGTTGAAAACTGGTGCCATTATAGTTATGGTACATGTAGTTGGACACCATTAAAACTTATTGCTAGATTTCCTTCACTTTGAATTGATTTCCTCACAAAATCGAGATAAAAAAGTATGGTCATCGAACATTTTTCACAAAAATTTTTTTTTTAATACCTATGGTAAAAGATTTCGAGATATTTCAAAATGTGGTACATATGGTGTGAACAGAATCATCAGTACCTGTAGTTATGGGTATTCATGGTTTTCCGAATTATTGATAAATACTATCCATTTTTTTTTTCCTACCGAAATTCTATTTATGATTTTATTTGTGATGTTTTTTTTTTTAAAAAAAAAGCCTAATGTTGGAGACTTGTGTCAAAATTAAAAATAAGATTACACTTTTCAAAAAACAAAAGAATATGATATTTGTTTCACTCAAATGCCTGCAAATGACCTGAACTACATTCACGCAGACATGAAAGAACTTTTTCTTTCTTCCTACACTCTAATAAAATAATACAGTTAAGTTTATGTGTAATACAAGTCATCAGTGAGCGGAAACAGCAGTCTGGATGTGCTCGTTAACTAGTTCAGGTCACTGTAACATCTCTATTCAATAAACAAGAACAAAAACATGAATTCTATTCACATAATCTTTTTGATAAAGTTTTCTAAACTACCACTTACATTTAAATCATCAACAAACATCACTTTGTTTGCATAAACTGTGATGAGTAAAAACTCTCCATACTTAATTAAGAATCATCCAGAACTTTAAAATTGTATGGTTATTGAATTTTGAACCAGGAATGTTGTTTTTGTCGGTGACAGGTTTCTCCTGATTTTTTTTTGGTACTGAAATATAGCGCAATTTGTAATATTCCAGTTTCAGACTAGGTGGCCATCATCCTATCATAATGGCATTATGTCAATTTAATGCACTATATTGGAGTTAATCAGGCCTGTTCTAATGCAATACCCTGCAAATCTTAACCAAGGTTCCCCCAAAGTCACTTTTGTTAGTGAATGAAATTTGGCCAGTGGATTTAGCCACAGACAGTATAGAAGACTACTACTAGATTAGACTACTACTTAACCTTCCCATTAAATCTGTGTCATACTCACCCAGGGTAGGGATCGAGCCTATTTAATGCCTACCCATACAAATTAGGATCATGAGTCTGATGCTCTAGCCATTATGCTACTGGTTCCAATGAATAGTAACGTGGATGAGAAGAGTATGAAGCATTTTCAATGCTAGTACAAAATGCACATAAAAAAAGTTTGAAAAGACATCAGCAACATTCAATGTTCAAAACTGATGTCTAGCACACACAAAAAAAAACAAAAAAAAAAACATACTGATTAAAATCATTCTATTTTCATCTAATTGTCAATATGCATAATAATTAAGGATTTGTGAATTTTATTTCTCACCAGTCATGGACTGGGTCTAGACTGCAAATTGCAGTCCCTGTCTGATTAAAATTTGTCATTCAACCCTCCCAAATATTCCATTACATTACCCAGTTGTCATGGAAATTTTCTTTTTGTTTCATCTTGGTCCACAACAAATTTGGTTTACACAAAAAACTCTGACCCAAATGAGGAACCCCTTTGCAGAAAGTGTCTTTTCAAAATATATTTACTTTTAAATTAAAATCTACTAAAATCCCACTCAAATTTTTAATGCTTGAAATAAGTTTTGCAATTCTGTGGAAATGATGAATGGCCAATTAAATTTGTGCAATGACAATTCTTGGATTTTGATTTGTGACCTCGTAACCAGGATACCAGTTTCAACTGAAACTAACACACACATGTTGCAACTTTTCAACTAATGAGGGCGCTTTTCAAATAAAAGGAGACGTACCCTTTTACTGTCATTCAGAGCCTGCTCGGCTTGCTTCCTGTCCAACGAACCATGGTAATAAGGATAGCCTATAAACTCACTCTGAAATAAAAAAAAAACAATGTGACAGCTATTTATTCGGAAGTAATAATTCAACATAGTGTTTTAATGAGAAGACACAGACAAAATGTCATGTGTGGTTTGTCAGTTTCATTGCTATATGATGTCCAGTGCTCACCATGTACGTATAGCTGTACTAATATGTGTATCTCTACATTAGTTAATTTGCATTGCTCATATGTGCCATATTCCCTCTACTATTATTAATGTCTTACACAAATGACAGACGTGTATCCATATTAAAAATAAATCATATTTCAATGATTCAATGATAAATAAAATACAATTTTTGGTTTGCATGCGCTTCTAATAGAGCTTTACTGTAACTGTATATTTTGTTAAGCGCGTCTTTACCCCAGGTTTGTGGGTGTATGACAATTAAATTTGATTACTTTGTGTCTCTCTGGGATAGGGTGTCGGATGAGTGGATCGCTGATAGCGTGACGAAATGCAAGATAGTTCTAACACCATCAGAAACTTCTCTTTGTTTAACCCATCTGCCCCACTGTTGCTGGTGGCAAGTTATTTTCACAGAGTTTTATCGTTACCTAGTTGATTTCAAATGTTCATTTTTACAAGACAAATAACATGTAAAAATAATTTCAGGGAAAAGTTAAAACAAAAAACAAGGATTGGAGTGTTATTTGTATTCGTACTTTAATTACCAGTAACTTTAAATTTTATTTTGTATGTATTTAGATCATGAATTTTGAGAATAAAAATGGTTATCACAGTAGATACATCACAGAGTCACTGTTTCCATGGAGACAAACTTGAGAAATGCCTTTTTTTTTTTTGCATTTTTTTTTTTCAATACTAGAACCTAATAATTAGCAGTGCTTTTTTAAAGTTTTTAGTGTTTTATTTGTTATAACAGCAGTCACATTAAATTATACGACCCACCATGCACCAAAATACAAAAACAGGATGTCCAAAATGAGGCAACTTCTGAACTCTGTTGTATAATCAAAATAAACTTTGTACTCTTTGTATGTGGTCAATAAAACTTTATTAGGTGACTTCAGGCGGCTTTTAAATGGATTTTATACAACAAGTATGAATGGACCTGAATACATAGCACACACTAGTCTGGGTTTAACTTGCAGACAATTTTATTAAAAATTGACATACAAATTTCATTTTTTTTTTTCGACATACATAGGATATTTTATCAAAGTTGCTCAATCAGAGATGAGATGTATAAATTGTATTCTGTCAGGCAGTTTATTTTATACAGACCTAGAAAGCGACTGATAAATCTAAAAGATAAGTAAACCTCAGCAAAGAGGCCCTACTGAATGGAAACCTCCATTTTTTCATATTTCTCATTAAATTTAAATTAATTTTCACTATTTTAAAATAAATTTTCAAATTTTCAACATACTGCAACAACAAAAATCAGAGAATTTTGATTAAAATTCATACAAAAACTAAGTGGGATACATTTCGATTAAATGTGCCCTACTTTCTAGAAATACAAGTCAGTCAGCCAATAAAAGTATTAAGTCATGCACAAAGCACACCACACTGACTGGTTTCATTTTAAAAACAATAGATATACAGGTACTTCACTAAAAACTAGTTGAAACTAAGACGTCAATCTAGCGACTCTGCCCTAGTAACAAGTTCACAACACAGTATTGTAAATTATAAATTTGAAAGTACCGATATTGATTAAGAGAGTGTGTGGGTGCATTTGTGTGAGTTGGGCCAGACACCGAACTGAAACAAACAGTGCATGACACAACATGATGCAGAAAGCACTAAATACCTCTGTAATTATAGTAATGTTTAATGTGTGCCTCGTTACGTTGGACTGTAAGCTATAAAACATTTGTATTATCAATTAATTACCGCAACTTGTTGACACCTTTCCTAAAATGCTCTTATTCAGTAAGATTTATGTTTTAAGTTATTTCAGCTGTTTTGAAACCATTTTCTCAGTTTGTTCAAAAACTATAAATTTTGGAGAAACTGCGAAAAATCCAACCTTCAAAAATTCTGAAAATCTCATCTCAGAATGTACAAAATGTGGAAAACAATAATTCCCATCAGCCCCGATATATTTTATTCTGACTTGTCCACTTAACTATATGAGAAATATCATAAAAAAGAAAATCCACCCATCACACACATTTTAATGTATTTCCTCCTCAACAGGAAAACTTGTAATATATATTTTATGAGAAATTGCTGCAAACTTCAAAGAGCGTTCATAAATTACGTACTCCAGATCCAAGAACACAAGAGTGTGCTATGACATCACTCACTCGTATACGTGTGAATCATGATGTACATTAATACATATGTCCTTGAGGTTTGAACCAATATACCTGTAATTCGTGACAATAAAACAAAAACAGGTCACGACTTGACCCATTGCATTCTAATTAACGAGTGACGCCGATTCAATTAACACACAATTGTCGATGAATTATGTGCATTAGAAATCAGTTTACAATGCATCTATTGTGGCGGCGAGGAAGGAATTTCTCAAAGTGATCAAAGAATGTGATATGTAAGGTGGTTTGTTTTTTTAAAAGAGCCGCTTTTGTTACCAGATTAATTTCACCGCAAACATCTCTGCTGGATAATAATTTGGACAGGAAATAACAAGAGAAATGAAATTCATGATAGTTGAAGTTGTGAAACACTGATGTAATTTCAGGAATTCCAGATTAAACTGTGAATCATACTCCAGGACCTGTTCAGTTCTGTCACGTAGTGAGTACATGCTGCAATGGGGATATTTCTTTTGCTTTACTTCTCACAGAACTACAAACAATACATGAATGTACTAGCTAGTGTAAATACTATCACCGAAGATGAGATAAGAGAAACAGGAAATGGCAGTCAGCAGCAAAGTCAGGAAATGCATTAATTCTTTATTCTGACGTGCAATTGATTTCTGATGCTAAGAAAGAGTTAAATAGACAGAATGTTCCAGCTGTCATTTTTTTTGTACTCTGATTCAATTGTGACTTTCAATTCATGATTATTTCAGTGATCCTTTTTTTTATGAGATTTTATTTCTTGTGAGACATTCTCTACATTATCAGTTATATTCTTGTGTCACAGGATTTTGATATAAAAAGTATCGTATTTGCTCTATTAGTAGCGCATATAACTAATGATCCAGGATACAATGGTTTTCGTGTGCTTCTATTAGATACTAGTATGCTGCTGTTAAAGCGAGAGGGTCATCACCTGCGCACACACAAGAATTGAGTCCCAAGCGACGATAACAACACACGCTAAAAACGCGAAGGCTCATGGGCAGACGCTTATTTGTAAACAATGACACGTTATGGCCATCTGATGCATGCGCAGGTGACGACTCCCTCACTTTAATTGCCAACATCAATCAATTATAAACAAGACAAACAAAGTTTTGTAAATTCACAAAATCACAGCAGTGAAAATTTGACTTGGGTTCCTCATGTGATATCGAGTCATGAGACTTTCATGTGTCCTTGCCTCTCAACCCTTATGAAAATGGAAGCTGTGCTGCATAGTTACAGCATGGATGCGGCATGGCCAGGGCAAATGATTTATTTTTAAAAATTTTTGTGAAGTATTTTTACACACTGTGACCACTTTATTTTGGACAAATTTTTATGAATTAGTAAAAATCATGATATTTTGTAGTAGTGAAAATTTTTCCTGGATCAGTGAATTTCACAATAATTCGTCGTCTTCACAAATGACATAAAGTCATCAAATCCTGAATATTCCAAGCCACACAAATTAAGAGGTTTACAGTATATGTCAACACACATACTTTCAAATTACTCAAACTAGAAGCATGTCTCTAATAGTGCACATAAACCAAAAATTGCATTTGGTGAATATCAAATTATTAAAATATCATTTTTATTTTGATCATAATTAACATACGCACATGTACTACTAAATACTCCACACATTTTTGTGTTTACATACACAAACACACCTATATTTAATCCACAATTTTCCTGATATTTTTAATATTATACATCATTTATTCACCAATAAATATTTATATTTAATAACAACCTTGAGCAATCAGTACTGACAAATTTTTTTTTTCATAATTTATGAATTCTAGCCTATGCGTGCATAGATACTAATCAAAGTGAATCACAGAAATATACAGCCAAGATTATAGATAAGATAGACTATTGATGTTTTGGAATCATCGCAATTAACCTCGGAGTCAACCTTGGTTTATATTATAAATAGACCTGGACATCAATGTAATTCCCTTAATAATAACTTAAATTTTAAAAAACGGCTTATTACAATCTGCGAGTGATGTAAAGGTAATTACGTTCTGCTTGTAATGTACTGTAATCTGCTTGTATTTCGTAAGAAATATATTTTCATGAGTCAAGAAAACATGCAAGATTCACCCTTCCATAGAGTTCCATGTGCGTCATGGAAACAGCATTCTGACCAATGGCATGGCAGTAGTTCATCTCAAATCTCTGATAAGCCACATTTAATTGTGTGTTCGATACTTTTATATTTGTGTTTTAGGAGAAATAAACTAAAATAAACCATTTTTTTTTATATAATTTATGATTTGGTAATTAAGTTAAAAATGCTGAGCAAAATGTATTTAGAACAGAGCATGGTGCACGTTGTTGGACAGTTATGCAAAGCATTATTGAATTGAGAAAAGGTGATTCATGTATCATTGACCATTTCATAAAAAAAAAACATTTTGATTTGTTGCTCAATTAAACAGTGAGTAAGCATAGCAGATGCACTTCACTCTGGTGTTCAGTTTGTTTTTATTTTTATTTTGTGCTCTATTGGTCCCAGACTCATTGCCAAGATCATGGCTTGATGTATGTTAACTTTTAAACTCAAAATGCACGTTACCAATATATTTATATACTTTCATCTACTGTAAAATACTTTATTTTAGCAGGAATTAATTTTCACTGAAAAGACTTTTTGGGTGTTTTGTATGGAATTTACTTTCCATGTTTTTTGATTGTAAAATATAGGGAAAAAGGTATACTTGCTAGATTATTTTCAGTGAATTTTTTTTCTTGTCAGGCCATGCATGATATATTACCAAATTTTATTTTGAGGTTGAGTAAAAAAAATAATGTGTTTCTAATAACTCAACCTTGTCTAGATGCCTTGCTTTTTCAGACCATATAGTAAAAAATGGAAACTTGAAATTCTTTATTTTTTTACCAAATTGTCAAAAATCTCATACTAAGCAGCACTACAGAATAATAAATTTAGAGTTATGATAAAAAAAATTATTTCTACCTAAGTAACCTACTTTTGTTTTCAATTTTACCAGAAATACACTATTAACCTTTTCACTACCAGTTCCCTCTTTTCATCACAAATTCACAAAATAGTCCTGTTTATAGTCTGCCCTTTCCTTCAGAAGATTGGGACAAAAATAGCCAAATTTTTTTGAGTGAAAACTGAAAATTGACTCAAATTTTGTCTGTTGGCTCCAAAATTAGGGTTCATTTCTAGAAATATTGAAGAATATAAGAAAAAGTGAAAGTCTGGTGGTGGAAAGGTTAATTTTATTTGTCCTGAATCTGCAAAAATTGTTAGCCTATGTTCCACACTTCCTCCAATAATGTATTTTTCACACACAACTGAATATAATTGTGACTAATATTTCATTTGAAAAAAATATTATCTTGTTTATATGCATTTTATTAAGTACAAAAATAATATTCAGCTACACGTGTTCTCAAAATATATTTTTGACAATGTACCGGTATGCACCATAGTAGTGTGAGAGCAAATTGAGAGATGCACATTAACACTGATTGACTGTCTATGATCTAATTAATATTCATGAATAAATCAGTGACCCTACCTATAAAGGTCAAAATCGCAAACTCCCCTGGGTGGCCACTATAGACAGGTTTGTTCATCTTGAGAAGGGACTATTTTATCTCATTTGCATATCAGTTGTAGACATTACCAATGGTCTTCCATGGCAAAGTAATCTACAGTGTATTAGTACACTGTAGAACATTAGGTAATACAGAATGGACTCCCTAACTTATTAAATTTTCCAACCAGAGCATGCATAGATACTGTATTCAAAGTTAATTGTGGAAATATACCGCCAAGACTTTTTCACCACTCATAGTAAGCCAAGATGTGCTTTGAGGTATTCTTTCACTAGCAAATGAAAATACAGAAAAAATATGCCAAAGTTGTCTGGGTTGGGTAACCAATCAGGTAGCTTCACATTAACTCTATTTTGGTAACAATTATTCGGTATCTAAAACAGTTTAAGTTTGATAAGTCAGTAACTAATTTATTTTGACTGGTTTAGAA